GGCATAGACATTTATGCTGTACAGTAGCAAGATCAATCACACTCCGCTCCATCAGCTTTCAAACAATGTGGATTGTAGCATTCTTCTTGCCGAATTCATAACGTTGTTGCTGATTTGTTGGCTCGAGCCGCTTGTTCTTCAAAGACTACTGTATCAAGCAGGTCACGACAAGCAGGTAACAACGAATTTATTGATACCTTCTTATCTCTTTTGCTGCGGTACTGAATGCAAACGATTTGACCGACCTTTGAAAAGGCAAAACATTCTGAATCTCGTTTAAGCAGTACAGTAGCAAGATAATCTCACTCTGCTTTCGCTTTCTACTGGATTGTTGGATTGCTTCATTCTAATCAATTGGCACCTACTCAGATCGCGAGCGCCAATGCAGATTTGTTGGAACTCATCTTGTCTTCATTGATGATGCCCCTGATGTATACAATGTTGTGCTTCTGCCTCCAGGCTGATTTGCATCATGGCTATTTAGCGTCTGTTGTGGTCAGTGTCGTGTGCTGTCCTGCTCCGTTGCCCTTGTTGCTCGTTGGAGGCTCGTGATCGAAGTGTTGTCAATGGAAACAATGATGACACACACTATGTATGATACGATGCATCTCAACATGACACTAGCTCCCGTCAAAAACGGTACCAAAACGGACAAAAAATGCCTCTACTACAGTCATATCCGGGTCGCTTAGCAGCTCTATTTTTTGAAATCAAATATTATTCGTCTGTTCCTCGATCTTTGGTTATTCCAAGCGGAAATGTGCCGTCATCGTAGGGGTAGTATGAAAAATACGACGATTTTCAAATATTCATCACCTATTTTATGGAATACCTGCCAAAAGTTGTTGTCGATGCGCCGAGGCAATGATGCCCAGTTTATCGACTGAGATTGAATTCACCCACTTGTGCTGTGGTAATTCAATTTTTCTCTTGGTACCCAGCCTTTGTCTGCAAGCGAACGAAAAACTCGAGCTCCTTCCACGCCGCCCTCATTCATTGCGATCGGCCAGCGTGACGTGGTGAAGCTAACAACTTCCCAACATCCCTCCTTTAAGAGCTGATCGGATTGTCTTGATCTTCTACTCACCTTCCACCGCTCCGAGGCATTGTTGAAACAACAAAAACGCGTTCTGTGCCCCTGTCTTTCTTTGAAAAATGACATCCTTCCCCAAGTTACTTGGTCCTGAAAGTCCCCAGATGGGAACTCAGTTTCTCTCTTCTGTCAGCATCTGCTTTTCAGATGATTCAATTCACCAAGCAATCCATGACAAGAAGAGACCCAAGAAATTGGAAATTCAAGCGTCCTTTGGGTTTGCTGTTCCTACTGGTAAGCCCTATTAGGTCTATGGTCGGGGTCGTAAGGAATCAGTGACAGCAGAGACCATTTCTGCTGATACTATCCGTTTTAATGCACCTCAGATGCTCTCTACGGACAAGTTGCGGCTCTTGAACTCGTCTCGCGTTGGAGCAGTCCTTGGAGTATTTTTTCTCCGAATTCTCCTCCGGTTATTGGATTTGGCGCTAGTCCTGTTAGCACTACTTTCAATGGGCAAGATGCTGTCCATCGCGGGGCCCCAAAGTGGTCTGATTGCTTTGATCCCACTTTGATCCAGCAGTACTGGCAGGGAGATAGGAGTGTCCCTACTCATAGTCTGGTGATTTCCCTCATTGGGTGAACATGGTTGAAAACGCCAGCGTTGTAGCAGGATTTTGTACAAGTGACGAAGCCTGCAATGCTGGTTGGGGACTTTTCAAAGGTCCTTCTGGTTCCTGATGGATGCGGTGCTCCGGTGGGCCTATATTGGCCAACTTCTATTTCTTTCGAGGACTTCAAGAATTCTTTGAGTGGACATGGTACTCCTTATGGGAGTTTCTTGGATTTATTGCGGAGTCAGTCTTCTATTTTTTTAAGACTGGTTTACAGCAGTGAATTCAGGTGCTGGGTCTTATCAATTGCAAACTACTTCTGCGATGGATCTGTGGGTAACTCTGCCTTGTCCTTCCAACCTTCACGGGAATGGTCTATTGAACGTTTCTGTCGCCCAACCCTTACAAGAGCAATTTGCTCGCTACGTAATGGGGATGGCTCTGGACAATCGACAGGCTATCAGGCAACGCTGGCAAGTTGGTGCATGGTTGGAACGTGCTCGGCAATGCTACCCGCCAGCACTGGGGTATCATGGTCCGCCGGATCACTTTGCGTACCTATATGTTCTTTGTCCTCCAGAGGATGGGTGGCCTTGGCCGGAATTTTCTACTTGGCTTTCTGATTTGCCTTTCGACGCTCTACCTGATAGGTATCAGCGATTTGAACCAAAAGAGATCCCTGTGAAAGCTCGAGCAGTCTTTGTTTCAGCCATTCTTGTGGAAAAAGAGGACCCTGATAGCGATTTGGATGCTTACGCAAATGTGTTTGCCACGACTGCAACTACAGTTACAGCTACACCTAACATTGGTACAGTCCCAGCTCCAGCTCCGAATGTTGCTACTCCATGTCCACCAAAAGAAGCTCCACTTCCACCGGTGCGGCAATTGGCCTCCCCACCTTCCGTTCCACAAGATGTCCTTGATGCCATGCAAAAAGTGAGGGCTTTCCAAGAACAAATTGTTCATGGTACATCTGCGGGCACACCTGCTAATCCAGTTGACTTGGTCGCTGGTGATGTGGAGGAGTATGACATTCGCCCAAATGACTTGGCAACTAGGTTTGTTTCTTCGGCGAATGATTCTTCTACTGCAGCAGTCATGCGAGCTGGCAATATTGCTGATCGTTGTCGCTCTAGTTTGGCACAAGGAAGATTTGGGGCTGGTCCACGTACGGGTTCGCTGGGCCTTGCTCCGATGCGGAACGACATGTTCAACCCGCAGACACTGGCGGCAGTGCTTGTAGTGCCACAGTCTTGTTTTGTTTCAGCTGATAAAGCGTCTCTTCCAAGTGTGCAGGCATGTCGGACTTGCAGCTAAATGTGCTCTGGTTCTTGCAAGTTTCTTTCCCCAAGAGGAGCCACCCTATCTGTGTCTGTCTGATGACCGTGTAGCGACTGTGACTGATTGGATGGAAGTGCCGGAACCAACGCAACTCGCCCATGATCTCATTGCGGTATGGGACCATGGCCACAAGGAGGCAACGTTGGGTGTCACGCGAACATTGCATTATGCACTTCGTTTTTGTGCGGATATTGCTACAGATTTTCAACAGATCCCGCTTCCATATGAAGCTGAATTGGACTTGCTAAATTTTGCAATGCATAAATCAATCTGTGATGTGGCGAGATGGAAGATGGGTTGGAAAGTACCACCACCCCCTGTCGGTGGTCCATCTTGGCACATCTTTCACTTGCTACCCTTGGTAAACTTGGGTACTGTCCCGATTGATTGAGACTTCAGCTGGTCCAAGGTCAACAACAAATGGCGCAAGTGAACACAAATGCATAACCACAACCACAGCCAGTGGCGCAACAGCCAGCAGTGCAACAACAACCAATGGCACAGCCACAACGTGCAGCGGCTCAACAGCCACAGCAACCAGCGGCAGTTCCGGCAATGGAACAACAGCCAATCGGACAACAGCAAGGAACGGCGCAAATCCTGTGCCACCCCAAATAAAGATGGTCTCAACGCCTACCTGAGTGGAGCTATACCATTGGATCTAACAAACAATCTCAAGCCACTAGGTCTTGACAATCAAGGACGACTGCCGCTCAGCAACAAGTTTGATGGGATAGACCTATCTTGCTTGATCAAAGATATACAAACGCGCTGTACCCTAATGAAGCACATCCCCATCTTTGAGGTGTGACCAAAAATACTGCAACAAGAACTTGTTGTTGAAATATATGGTGAAATTTCTCTTGCTGCAATGCGAACCAGGCCCCAGCAACAAGACGATGGAGGACAAACACTTATTATCTTTGCCAGGCGAGCTACATGATTGGAATTTGTCTCCTAGATTTGATGACCAACAATTTCACGGAATTTGAACAGCATGCAGACAAATGTAACCCAATTTGTGGTCGCTGCCACTGCGACGTCCTACAATCCTCAAAATCATCTGTGATCTCGCCTCTCCATCAAATCGGAGAACAATTCAGTTCCTGATTCACGAGCTTCCAACTCTTTCTCCCGGAGACCATGGCAACCATGTTATCCTTGTTGATCCAAGTTTTAACAATTTGAAGGCCAAAATCCGAGCCATGGGAGGCTCTCTTGCTTTGAACGAAGTCACAATTTACAACGCCTCGGTTCAGGGATACAACTAGGTTGATCAAGATGATTTCAAGGCGTTCATGTCAATTGAAAATAACATGCCGGAAATGAGACAAAGTACAATATCTTTACATGACTTAATTGCAGATTCATATCGATCCTACCTGAAAGCCATTATAGTTACACAGTTTTGTGATTGTTATTTTTTTGATTGTCTCTTTCACAAAATGCGATGCATCTGCGATGTGCATGAAGATCGCATGTCAGCAGGCTTTGTTGACTGGATGCATGCGGATCGTCGCTGCAATAATGACAATTCGCTTACAATCCAATTGCCAATAAGGCAGCCATATCAGGCATTCTTGGGAAGCGAATGATGGCTATATATTTTATTAAAAATTGGTATTGCCAAACAAGTAGGTCCTGAAGGCTATAGTGGTGTCCCTTGAATATATTTGATATGTATAATTGATGGGGCTAATGTTGATATGAAACGAAATCCTTGGATATGATGCTGGTTCTCTGATTTCATCATTTGGAACTGAAACCAGGGAAATGGTATTGCAATACGCTACCCAATACCGATAGGCTCCATGTGAGCGCATCTTGCACAATATCGCTTAGACACACTTTGGTTGTGGTGAGGTATCGACCGAACAACCCACTGAAACACCATTGGCTGTGTCGTTGAAGCAATTGTACCCTGTGTATGCGGGAAACATGAATGAGGTCCACCTCGAGCATGTAATATGGCAGCAACACGGCTACTTACCAAGCTGACACGTTACACTTGCAAAGATTGGGGGGATTGCACCCGTTAGTGTGTTGATACCTATACAGAGAAGGGAATGTATCATATTGAGTGAGAAAATGAGCACCAGAGAAGCTTCCTTTGCACAAGAACTAACTTACTAAGCCACAGTCTACGTATTGCTGTAAGTCTGCCAAAGTCTGTTGGGAGAGTGCCTTTGAGATTGTTTCCAACTGGAGCAAATGGGTAAACTATGAGCAGCGGCAGAAAAAGTAGCTCAAATCATTGCAAAGCAACATACTCATTATCAGATCCTCCAATCTGCTCAAGTTTCCCATTTCTGATGGGATATTTCCTCCAATATTATTTCTTTCTGCAAATCGACAACAGAGGGAACTGAAGTGAGTATGCCAGCATTGCAAATGGCACGATATTGCCAAGCAACATACGAATATTCAAATGACTCAATTGGCTCAATTTTCCAATTTCTGTTGGGATAGTACCTTCGAGACTACCGGCTATTGTTGGAAGTGAGTATACCAGTTGATACAAGTGTATTAGCATTCCAAATAGATTATTACTGCCACTCAACGTACCGAGAGCCAAACCAACCATTTGCTCCAAATTAAAAATCTCAGTTGGGATAGTACCCTCAATATTGCCGGCTGTTATTGGATTTGCAAGCAAGCGACAATGAGTGGCAACAACAGGAATCAAAAGCAGCACATTTCAAATTGTCGTACAAAAACTGAGATAGGCCAACTTGCTCAATTGCCCAACTTCTGTCGGGATCGTTCCGTCCAGGAGAGAGCCTGTCAATAGATGAGTTACAAAGAGTGAGCCACCATTGTTTCAGAGGGATGATAGGACTAGGAGCAAAACATTGTGAAGCAACATACCAAGACCAAGCATTGTCAGTTGACTCAAGTTTCCAATTTCTGTTGGAATTGTTCCTTCCAGGCGAGAGCCTATCAAAAGATGATGTGCAAGCATTGAGCATCCAAAATTAGAGGCAAATCATATGGTCGTGCAACATACCGATACTCAGATTGATCATCTGGCTTAGACTCCAAATTTGAGATGGAATGGTTCCTTCAATAGCACTACCTGTTGACAAAGATGGAACAATCAGCAATGAATGGCAAAGATGCCAATATAGCAGAAATGTATGACACAACGTACCAATACCAAGCTGAGTCAATTGGCTCATTTTTCCTACTTCCGATTGTAGACTTCCTTTGAAATTGTTACCAACTGTCAACCCGGGGGGAATGGTGCAGAAAAATGAGTACATAAAGTCTATTCAAGAGAGCACTATTGCAACCAAGCTTACCGAAGTAAATTTGTTTCACTTGGCCCCAGTTCCCAATTTCTGTTGGGATAATGCCTTCAAGATTGTTACCAGCTGTACACACGTGGGTGGACAAGATCAGCAGCAAATTGCAACAGTACTATATACAAGCAATTGGCAAAACAACGTACCTAGATTCACACCCACCAGTTGGCTCAAATTTCCCATTTCTGATGGGAGAGTTCCGGCAAGATTTGGGTTATAGGCTGCCAACAAATACAGAAGAGCCAGTGATGTTGGCGGGGTTAGATCAATTAGCAGGAATGGCCAGCAAGAGCAATCACTTAGTAGATCACTGCTAGTCAACATACCAACATAAGTATGAGTAAGTTGACCAAGGTTTCCAATTTCTGTTGGTATGGATCCTTCTATCCCACTACTGACTATAATTGATATCAAACGAATCAGAAATGAATGGCACAGACAAGTATTGCAAAGAACAACTTACAGAAAGCCAACGAAACCATTTGGCTTAACTCCCCAATTTCTGTTGGAATACTACCCACAAGTCCACCATGGTCTAAAAAGAGTACAATGAACCAAACATGAGAAGAAACTTTTCAAAACACGAGCAAAACTTTATCTTGCTTACATGAAGATAGTCTTACAAGTTTTGTTAGGGCACCAATCTCGGTTGGAATGGTGCTTTGATATTGATTGATATTTGCGTAATCAGGTTGTCCAACAGCACCTATAGGATTAATCAGTGAAAATGCTTTTGTTGAAGCAGCAGGAAGGAAGTCACAGGTAACATACCTATTCCCAGGTATGCCAAGGCCTTCAGCTGCCCAATCTCGGTTGGTATCCCTTGGCCTGTACGCACTGTAGATTGTAGTGAGTAACAAGACTGAGGTGAACGATGCAACTTGCAAAAGTTTGATCCAATTTCACAATCCAAATGATGTCGTACCGGTACTTAAACTCATCAAGCTCGTCAGTAGACCAATTGCCACCGGGAGATAGCCAGCTTCAGTGTTGAGAATGCTTCCTGTTGGTACTGGTTAGAAATGCAACTTCAATTGATACGCATACCGTACCCAAAAGCTTACCGACATGGATTGCTGTTACTTTGGAACCTTCCGTGCTTTGTGAACACCTGAGAAAACTATACTGAGTAGAAGTCCAAGTGCAGGTCGATTGTGTGGTCGCTCCAGCAAGATCATTGTGGTTGAAGGTTTCAGGATTGTCATTATTTGCAGCGTATAACAATGCTGCAACAGCATACCGATCGTGCCATTGCTCTGGGTAACTCTCTTCTTCACTGGGCTCCCATATATCCGTTTCGCACATCCATTGAATTGCGAGCTGGTGCAATGAAGCTCTGTCTCCAAGCTTGGACTCAAGGTATTCACATCGATTAGTTGACAAGGCTATTGGTGCAAGAGACGGAGTTTCTGTGGGTTGAAGCGTAGGTACCATGGATGGGAGTTGTGATGGCCTCAAGGTTGGTTCCATGGATGGACTGAGCGAAGGGACAGAAGATGGATTCAAAGACGATTCTCGAGTCGGATTCTGAGTGGGACGTAGAGTTACAGCAACTGTGGGTGCTAGTGATAGCACTTGTGTTGGAGGTACAGTAGGCAGCGCTGTTGGTTGCGAAGTTGGGGGAGAACTTGGTCCAGGGGTTGGTTGTGGACTCGGTGCACGACTTTCATCAGCCATAGGAGCAAATGTGGGTAGCTGTGTTGGCTCTGACGTTGGAATTGCTGGCGCTGGCGTTGGTTCCGCATCGTTGGCACTAGGAGATGCTGATGAATCAAGTGGACCTAGATTCACAATGATCATGCTTTGATAGAGGGTAGTCACCTCAAGTTTCTTGATAAGGGAGCCACCCCCCAAAACAGCGCTGAGTTCGCCAAATACATCGAAGATTTTGACCGCCGCGTCCTTCACCACAATGTCAAGCTTCACACTGACTCGATGGCACCCTGTGTATGAATCCTCCATGCATTGTGCCCCCTCGACTCCGATCGCACTGACCACCACATTCCCAATTGCATACGAAAAAATGGCGTCACCGATGAGATGGCGATGATGCGCAAACTGACCACCGCGTAGTTTTCGGACAACTCGATCGCATCCAGTGAGCACTGGAACCAGCAGCTCTTCAAGTTTGTTCTCAATGATGTCGGCTGAGAAACTCAAAACCATTGGAATAAGAGGAGTAGCATCCAGGTTCAGCTGGTAGCTTTGAACGGGCAGTATGTCTTGGCCTTGGATCGCATCCCCTTTTGCAATGGCATCACAGTCTTCTACCGACGGCGGAAAGAACTGGACATCAAGACTACTAGGAACTCCACTGGGTGCGGTAGTTGCACTGTTTATAGTCGTGAAAGTACTTTCAGTCGGAGACTCACTACTGACTGGAAGATCCGAGAGATCGTTGGTGGCATTCCCGATGACTTGGGATGGTTCAGTTGCAACTGAAGTGTTGTTGCCCAAACCGAGCCATGACCCAACGGCAACTCCAACAATCACAACAATACAAAGTAAACCTTGGCAGATCCTGACACTTTTTTGCTGCTGCATTCGCTCCCAATCTCGTCCATTGGATCTATCATTCTGTGCTCTAAATTTAATTTTTCTCGAACCACGAGGAGAAGTAGCTCCATTCAAGAAGTTGTTCGCCTTCCTGTATGCGGCGACTTTTTCAGCATGTGTGCTCTCTTTGCCAAGCTTCGTATTTGTCGCTGGGTCGGCATCAGCACTTTCCACAGCACTAGCCGTCACCATTCCATGGTCTTCTTCCTTTTCTTCCTCAGCTACCTCCTCACGTTCGTCAACCGCAATGATGGATTGCGTTCCCAAGTGTCGACTGAATCGTCCTTTCCCGACCTTTTTATCAGCATCGTCACCCCGGGAGTCCGCGTGGGCACCAGGAGATGGTCCAGTGGCGGAAGCGATGGATTGATTGATGAGGTTCTGGGCCTTGGCGGTAGAGTCCTTGGAC